AATCCTCCTCTTTTCTTCCAAATTTCAAATGTAAGAACTGCTACTTTGTAGAAGAGACTCCTGTTTGGGTGCTTCCCTGAACTCTTAAAATCTAACATTCAAGTCAATTTCCTTCTTGTCCTCATAATCATTCATATCAAACACATTCATAATCGTCCTTTTAACACTGACCTTGAGTGGGTGAACATAGAGTCTTATAGACATAGGTTTAGTTAACACTAGTGTCTGTACGTATCGACCCAGAAATTGCGATGCAGTCGATATATTTAAAAATTCCCCGAATGGGCAAGATTCATATAATAGCAATTAATTAGTTGCTTTTAAAATCCTCGAAATATAGTGCAAGGAAAAAACTAGCTGAGTTTATTGTACAGAAGTTACTGAATTAGTCAAGCGTGACAAGGACCGATAATTCGTTTCGTTTTTGGTTTGTTTTTGTTTTGCAGTCGATTTCCAAACGTTCCTTAATCTTGAGTCAGATTTTGGGCGATGTTTATCAAATAAGTTTTACTTGCTTGAATTTTTTGCAACCTCTGAAGGTCTATTTTCTTTTTTCTTTGATGATAATTGACAATCATGTTATGGTAAAAAACACCAATATTTTGAATTCTAATCAGGGTCTCGATTTCTTTAAAAAAAATTTCCATCTATTATGTTTTTTCTCTCCTTCTATTGTCCATTTTGAGGTTCCATTGTTATAATTTATTTCACCAGAGATTTTCTTTTTCTCTGGATCATCAGACCTCACTTCCAAGGAAAAATGCATTTAAACTTGCTCTTTTGAATGGCAGTGTTAAGCTTTTCTAAGGTGATATAGAGAGTGGGGAGAGATAGTGTGGCAGACATGGTCGAAATTAGAGAAGGAAGAAGAGAGATAGGAATGTTTTTAAATTTATTTTTATTATAATAATTGATATTAAGGTAATATTGGGTAAGGATCAGATATTGACCTATTTAATACGGATTACTAAGCTAATCATGACTTAACTACACATAAACACACACAGACACACACACACACACACACACACACACACACACACACACATATATATATATATATATATATACATTAAGAATTGGACAAAGTCCGACAATTTATTAAAGACATTTTTATGTTTAACATTCTTTTTATAGATACAAGTATTTAAGTAAATGCTCTGTTTATAATAAACAGTATTAAATAACATTTATAAATATATACACCGTTTAAATAGTGTAACAGCATGGTATAATTGTTCATCCCATAAAATGTGAAATATCTAAAAAAACACTAAAAACTGAGGTTTTTTTTACACGCTTTCAGCTAAGACGTTTAGTCATCTTGTCACTATTTATCGTAAGAATCACTGAAAAACCTTTTGGGTTATTAAACTAGAAAGAGAAAACGTTAAAATCGTTTTCTGTCAGCCCCAATGTCTTCCCAACTGAACAATAGTGAGAGGAAAAAGATCATTCAGGCCTTCAGTAATGGTACCAACATCCATACTCTCGCTTCCATCTTCAAAGTCCATTCAAAAACCATCAAAAGAACGGTGAATAAGTTTTAAAAAGAGAGAACAGTAGAGAGAAAAACTGGATCAGGCGGTCACAACAGTAAGAGGGATCATCATTTCAACTTAGAGCTAGAGATGTGAAAACAGTGGGTCTGCCACAAAACGATTTTAACCTGCTCTCTTCTTAGTCGAATAACTCAAAGCGTTTTTCAATGTTTCTTACGGCAAATGATGTCAAAATGGCTAAACATCTTATCTAAAAAAATGGCTAAACATCTTATCCGAAAAAATGCTATGAGAAATGTGTTATTGTTTTGGAACGTGCGGTCACAACGCTGAGTTTGAATTTTGAATTTTAAGGTTGTGCGTTTTTGTACAAATATAGTAATAAGAATTAATAAGAAGTAATAACACATATCTCATAGCATTTTTTCGGATTACATCTATATTTTCGTTGTCCTATTACTACCGAGGAGTAAAAACAAGAACAAATCTATTTCCATTCCTTAGGATGTCTGTAGGAACAGACGAAAGCTTGTAAAAACTAAAAAAGACCTTATGAAACTGGAATTTATGAACAGGGATCATATCATATACAGATTCGGGGTTAGTGTATCTTATTGAAATTGTTTGCGAAGATGTATTCTCGCCATTTAAATCATTAACCTCTATATTTGTTTTTTGTATGAATGATTCATGTAATTATAAATTAAACTGCGCCTATAATTGATATATATATATATATATATATATATATATATATATATATATATATATATATATATATGAAGAAATATAGTTTTAAGGCGTGCTATATTTATGGGATAAAGTGCACAATATCAGAGATAGAGCGTATGTAAACATGATGAAAATGAACATTGAAGTCAACACTCAGAGGCGACAGACGCAATCGTGTAGCATAAAACAGCCTGTCGCCTCTGAGTGTTGACTTCAGTGTTCACTTATATATATATATATATATATATATATATATATGTGTGTGTGTGTGTGTGTGTGTGTGTAAACTAATCTGTTCAGAGGCCGGAAAAATATCGTACTACAAAACGGACGTATATCAGAGACTGGTCAATGCAGATGTCTTGAAAAAGCACATGCAGGGCAAGTAAATATAATAAAGAAGCAAAAACACGTTATGTAATCGCCTACAACCTTGATTTCGACCGTCAGGTCTCTTCAGGTGGCAGGCAACATGAAGAGACCTGACGATCAAAATACACATTATGTCCGGTTACATAACATGTTTTTTTGCTCAATATATATATATATATATATATATATATATATATATATATATATATATATATATATATATTGAACTGCTAACAAGTACAGACTCCTACATAATGACGTATAGCAGTTCTTCCATTTGCCTGAATATGTTTCCGATTTTTAGTTTCAGTTCATTCCATATGAGTTCATTTGGAATCAAATTCCACAACATGCTAAGTCAATAGTGTAATTTTACCTTCTTTAGAAACTCTGTATTATAATGTTATTTTTCCTCAAAGATGATATAGTCTGAAAATACGCCAACGCCTGATATACGTTTACATTTTTTTATCTGTTTCTTTATCTCTATTATGGGTCTATTCGAACAGTTAGGAAAATTTAATTTCTTTGCGAAATAATGTTAGAATAATCCTGAATTGATATTGGAAGCAAATCGTAGACAGAAATAGAAAAGTGCGTTTAGACAAGGAGGTGTCTTCTCAGTGGATTTATTCAATCTCTACAGTGAGGCTTTTCTAATGGAGTTCGTGATGCTACCAGGATTTATTAGCAGTGGGCACAGTCTTAACAATATAAGATACACAGATGACACTATGTTGATGGCAAACACCGGAGAAAAACAACCGGAACCTCTAGACAAGGTAGCAAAGGGCAGCGAGAAGAAAGAAAAATCAACTGTAAGACAACAGAATCTAAGGTGATCTTCAAGGGAATAAATAAAGATGCGAACTACAACTTGGAGAAGACAAACAAGTACAGAAGTTTAAGTATCTGAAAAGTGATTTTTATCATTTCACCCAAAACAAGGCAATGAAGCCACTAAGTCGCAAGAGTTTACTGGGTGTTAGAGAGTATGTGAAAAAAAGAAAAATACTATTAAGTAGAGGGAATAATAAAAGAATAAGATTTCTGAAGACAGAAGATAACGATTAACATTGCATTTAAATTTTTGAAGATTAAAGTTGACCAGGAAGCTAGAAGCCGGAAGATAGTTCCACATGCGGGAAGTGCGGTAGATGAAACTATTAGCATAGAACTTATGTTTGCATTTAGCCATTTCAATTTTAAATTGATGAGACCCTGCCACCAATCTAGTACTGCGTTTAAATTCATAAAGTCAAGGTACCATAGAAGAAAGTTCATCAGAAGAATTATCATGAAAGTATTTATGGAAAAGACACAGAGAAACTACGTTACAGCGGTATGAAAGTGAGTGAAGTCGAGATGCCATGCCAAGATCAATAACATTGTAGATTCTTCTTTTGATTTTATCAAGAATCTTTAAATGGTTAGCAGGAACACTAGACAAGATGTGGTGGCAATATTCAATGCTCGGACGAATGGTAGACTTATAAATTTAGATAGATTCTGGATAGTGTTAACATTGATTGGAAAATACAACACCGAAATCCGAACGACCAAAAAGTCGGATTCCAAAAGCTAAGCAAAAACTCCGAAAAAATAGAAAATTTCGTAAGAAACAAACAGCGTTGAATTGCTGTGTAATTTCAATACACTTGTATGGCAATAAATGCTGTATAATCTATTCACAGATGAAAAAGAGAAAACTAGAAAAACAGGAATATTGTTCTACAGAAGGATGCTGAGAATAATGGACGGAGCGTGACAGCAACGAAGAGGTTTGTGGGAAAATGGAAATAAAATAAACACTTATCAAAATCAGATAGGGATAGATGAAGTTTATTGACCACATAATGAAGAAGGGCGGCTTGGCAAATTTGATACTCATAAGACATATCGAAGACAAGATGGATAGGAGGCGGAACTTGGCCAGTTATCTGATGAGCCTGTGTGAATATGAACGGAGAGTGGGAGCCTTGGCAAAGGGACAAATGTTGCTAAGATCTACAAGAGATGGGGAGACATTATCGCCTACGCCTTGAAGAGACATGTCATCCATGCGTAATATATTAGTTTAAAGTTAAGCATACTTTTGTAATTTCTTAATTCCTGACGGAAAGATAAATCAGTGTCAAATTTTTTTTTTTTTTTTTTTTTTTTTTAAAACTTCAAATAACTTATGATATAAAGAATTATAAGGGAGGAATCCTGAAGAAAAGAATTGAGAAACCCGATGCTACAAGCGGAAGAAAAACTGCTCTTCACCAGCGAAGATTTAATGTAAACACACCGGGATGAATGAGAAGCGACTGTGTCTTTCACACACTGTGGTATTAAGAAACTATCAAATCTAATTAGAACAATTAATATTCACAACACATATATAGACAGGTCTTGCAAAGCTATCAAAACCTATCTATCTATCTATCTATCTATCTATCTATCTATCTATCTATCTATCTATCTATTAGCATTTCTCTATCTTCTACCCTATTCTTCTGGCTCTTTTTATCTATCTATATTAACAGCTCTCACCCTCTCCTACCTTTCTATTTCGCACTGCATTTCCTTCTCCTTCTCTCCCTCTAATTTGTCCTCTCTCTCTCTCTCTTTGTCTCTATTGTCATATTTTAGTATCTAGTATATATTTGATTGCATATTTATACTTTATATCGTTATATCTCGTTGAGTTTGAAATAGACTGGCAATTAATCTTTATTTGAAAAAAATGTATCAAGGGCAGCTTTATTTCTGCTGCCCCTCTCATTAAATATTCAGGACAAATTCTCCTATTCTCTTTATTTAGGCTCCGAAAAATCTTGGGAAAAAGGTTACATCTGAATATTTAATAAAATGTGAAAATGGAATTAGGAGGTTTCGGTCGGATTCTTCTCCAAAATGGTATAATTGTCTCGGTCCGTCTACTTGAAACTAAAACGAAGTTAGGTAGGTAGGTAGGTATCTATCTATCTATCTATCTATCTATCTATCTATCTATGCATTCTATCTATCTATGTATTCTATCTATCTATGTATCTCTTCTCTATTTCCATCCTATGTTAACATTTATATCCTCCACCTCTATCTCTCTTAGCATCTCTCTCTCCCTCTCCTGTTTCTCTTAATCTATCTATCTATCTATCTATCTATCTATCTATCTATCTATCTATCTATCTATCTATCTATCTATCTATTTATCACATTTACACATTCGCGTCTCTTCTCTATTTCTACCTATTTTAACATTTATATCCTCCCTCTCTGTCTCTCTTAGCATCTCCCTCTGCCTTTCTCTTACTCTCTCTCTCTCTCTCTCTCTCTATCTATCTATCTATCTACTTAGCAGACTAACTATGTAACCGCAGGAAACAGACACTTAATCGCTCAACTAGCATCTGATTTGCAAAATATGGAACTAAAAGCCAGAATATCTGAACTAGAAAAGGCTTATTAACAGGAATTCAGAATACATTTTACCCAACAGATCTAATGCATGGGATTTGCATTATTTTTTTTGCTCTTTGTATCTTAATTTATCAAGTGTTTTTATAATTAGTTCTTATGCGCCAGGATATTGTATATTAAACACTTTACAGTTATTTCTTTAATTTCTTTATTCTACCTAAGAAGCAGATTTCATGTATTCTTTTATATGCAGTGTCACTTCAGGCATTTGTCGGTCATAGCTCTCCACAGCATTATTTTGTAGCGCTTAATAATGTGTGTTTCTTTTTACTACTCTTTCTATTTTCTAGTCTATCATCGAGTTATACAAGCTAGTTAACTAAGTTAATCGATGTTTACCTATGTCACTCTTGCGTACAATATTTTCTGTGAGTGTCTAATTTTACAAACCTTTCTTCCTTATTCTGTATCTCAGATTTTTCCACAAACTTGTCCCTGATCAAAATATATATATATATAAGGATATATAACTTCCCTAGTTCTATTTTCTTTAAAACCTCCTCCCCACGTCCGTTTTATCCCACGTTCCGTTCATGTTTCTATTCTCAAATTTCGTTTATCAACAGAAATTGTCATTTCTATTGTCTCAAATTTTTTCTTTCTTCATTTGTTGAAATTGCATGGAATAATAATAATACAATAAAACAAAATTCCCCTCCATTTTTGCATATTCTTGGGAAGAGGTTGATGTTAAATAGCAGTTCAACAATCTTTCGATCTCGATTTCTTCTTCCCCTTCTTTCCCATGACGAAACTCTCCTTAGGTTTCATAATATTTAGATTAACTTTTGGAAGGCATCTTTCTCTATTCAGGACGTACGTTTAGTGTACTGGATAGCGGCTCGGAATTAAAATTAAGAGGGCTGAGTTCGAATTCCAGTCTGATTCGTTGCATTCATTTACGCACAAATACCCCTGGGAGAGTTTTGAATTTATCTCCTTCTACAACTTTTTGAAAAATCATTGTTATTCTGAAAAATTGTTAATATAATATTCACTTGCAAAAAAAAAAAATTAGTCTTACAATCAAAAATAATTTTCGTCTTTAAATAGCCCGGAAAGGTTTGATAAACCGTAAAAAACAAATCAGTCTTTTTCTAACCCAATGTGATTACTTATTTCCGTGTCACATTTTCTATTGTTTTTTGTTTTTTTTAAACATTTTTTAGATAGCTATTTGTTTGTACGAATTGCTTGATTTTAACGTTTCCAGTTTGTACCTTCACAAAATCTATTGAACAACATCGAAAATACGAATAAGAAAGAAAATGGAGCGATTTTTGCAGCGTTACAACCATTCTGTTAATATCATGTAAGTTATTTACTTGTGGATGACACTGTTGAACCCTATCAAGTTACTTACCATATCTCCATTTTTGCTGCTACACCGAACACGTGTAATGGATGATAACCCCATAAACGAACATTATAGAACGAACAGCTGTATAAAATCAACTGAGATTGCGTTTAAACATTAAAAAAAAAATATCTGAAAACAAAAGTTCAACCGGATTTGGAACGCTGCGTTTGGATCACTGAGCCGTGATTGTTATATTTTGTCAACTTGAAAAAAAGAAAAAAAAAGAAAGTAAAATAGCATTTATAAGATTAGAAGTCTCCGTAACGTGCTTCTTCTTTCAATCGAACCGCACTTCGAAATTATAATTATTTGATAAATGATTATAATTACCGGGAACTTTTTTCACTATAAAAGCGTAATGAATTATATTTATCAAAATCGATTATTTTTATAATGCAAATTTTAACTCTTGCAGGCGTTCCAGCAACAAATGTTTTATTAAGATTTTAATATATATCAGATTTCTTGCTCCGTTTCTTTTACAAATCTGTCATCTTTTCATATCTGTAACCCTAATATTTACATAAGCTAGTAAATTAGAATATACAGCCCTGTTGCTTACATGCATCGAGCGTCTAATTCTCAAATATTCTCGATATATCCTAGAAACAGATTTTATATAAGAGCAGCATTTTGTTTACATACCAAAAATGGGGCCTAGATTAGTAAGGCATCCTCCCAGAACCAAATCGGGTGACAAAATATACAGGTACTACCCAACCAGACTCTGAGATATAGAAACAGATTTTTAAGAGCAGCACACATATCCACGTGATTCTCAATTTGCATTAGCTGCCTCATTATTCAAAACGATTAAAAGATCAGTGATTCTCGACTTGCATTAGCGCCTCCCTTATTCAAAGTTGCTTTTCAATTCTTCTCGCTCATGAACAGAGATGTAATGTGTCAGTCCTTACGTAACATAGTTATGGCCAGGCAAATATTAATCTAATAAGTGAAGGCGATATATTTCTCTGGAGGCCACCTTAACACGGATACGTTAACTAGGTTTCGGATTTTCTTCTTGTAGCAGATCCATTTTTTAAACTCTTCCTGATGTTTCTGGCCGCTCCTCTTGCAGTCAAATGACCTACAGTCTGTTGTTAACTGGGGCAAGAAATAGCTTGTTAATTTTAACGCCTCCAAAACAAAACCGCTTCTCTTTTAATCGTCTGAGAGAACCTTATTCGTCTTCCGTCAGCATTGCTGATGTTAACCTCCAGGAGATTGACTCATTGCACATTCTCGGACTAATGATTTCCACTGATATGAAGTGAAAAGATTAGATTGAATCATCTGCTAGGTCTGCGGATAGGAATGTTGATTTATTGCGTTATTCTAGACAATTTTTCTTGCTTGAATCTATCTTACATATTTATAAATCTACCATTCGTCCTTGCTTTGAATATTGCTGCAATGTTATTGGTCCTGAGCTAACATCTCGGCTTCAGTCACTTTTCTATTGCCATAAGGTAGCTTCATTGTACTTTTTCTATAAATATTTCCATGATAATTGTCCTGATAAACTTTCTTGTGTGTTACCTAGAATTAGACTGAATTTAAATGTGGTACTAGATTGTCGGCAATATCTCATCACTTTACAGTTTAAGTGGCTAGATGTAACCGTAAGTTCTATGTTAACACTTTTTTCTATCGCATTTCTCGTTTGTTGAATTCTCTTTCGACTTCTTACCTCCCAGTCAAACTTGATCTTCAAAAATTTAAATCCAATGTCAATCGTTATCTTCTATCTTCATTATTTTATTCTTTTATTGTTCTCTCCCATTAATAGTTTTTTCTCTAACACCCATTAACTTAACCAGTAGCATCTTAGTGGCTTTATTGCCTTACTTGGGCTGAAACGATTAAAATAGATCATTAAAATTCTCCAAGATTTGCTTCTTCATTATGTGTCCTAGAAAATAAAACTCTCTCTTTCTGATTCAAAGTATAAGAATTCTCCTTCATTTAGCTTAACCCGGCGTTTTCACAAACCAAAGAAATATATGCCGTGTCCCTTCAGGATAGGGAAATCATAGTTCTCCACATTTTCCTATCCTCTGTAGTCATTAAAATTTTACTTTTTCGTTATCCCTCCCAATTGCTGTTTTGCCATCCATCCATTTACACAGTCTCGTTAGGCAGGTTTTTCGCTGTTTGAGTGTCTAATTCTCTAAGCTATCTTTCCTCGTTATATGTCCGAGAAAATGTGTCATTATTTGCCCTAGAAATCTCAACTGTATCTTTTTGATTATAAGTATAAATGTTCTTTTAGTTTCCAGTTTACTTTAAAATTGTTTGTTACTCACACGTCAAGTTCATGGTATTGCCCAGTATTCATTGCCATCGGAGGAGGACTGATATAATATAACACTTCAACATAATTTTCTCTGTCTCCTACGAGATTTTCCTCTTCTTAAATATTTTGCTTGCTTCGCGATTCTAATACGCCTTCGCAGAAAACATTACTTAATATGTATTTTTCATTGAATGCGACAAACAAGGAATATTTTGCAATTATTTTATTCTGTTTTTCTAGCCTACTTAAAACCTTACCTTTATGAGAATTATGTTTGTTTGGAAACTGTAGTTTCTAAACACTGCTAATATTTATCATAGAAACATTATAAGAATGCTAGAAAAAAACCTCACAAAACATTTCCTGTTCGCCGCATTCGGTGAAGCATATATGAAAGAAAGGTTGTTGCCTAAATATATAATAATTACATGAGACAAGATATATAGATTTTTTTTATATATCAAGAAAAATTTTAGGGGAAAGAAGTATGTAAAATTTGCTTCCAGGGTCTCACAACGTTGACAGATCTATTATCACAATACAAGATATTTAATGATAAAACTGATCGAAACTGATTTAATGATCAAAACTGATCGAAAAAGAATCTAAATGAATCGACTAGATTCTTCTTTTATATGCCGTGTCCCTTCAGGACGTAGAAGATTATGGCTCTCCACTTCCCCCTTACCCTTGTAGTTCTCAATATATTTTGTCCTTTTGCTACTTCTCCCAGACCCTGTTATGTCATCCACTTGCTTAAGCCTGCTAAGTATGTCATTCATTGCTTTCCCTTGTCTCTATTTCCCCTGTACTCTCTGTGAGTATCAGATTCTCCAAGCCCTCCTTTCTCATTACGTGTTCAAGAAATTTCAGCTGCCTCTTCCTGATGTTAAGTATAAGCTTCCACTTTGTTTGCATCCTCTCCAAAACCTCATCCTTTCTCACATGTTCGGTTCATGGTATTCTTAGCATCCTTCTGTAGGAACATACCTCCGTTCTCTCGAGTCTCTTCTTCATCTTTGAGGAGACTGTCCAACATTCGCTGCTGTAATATATCACGTAGCAGTTCAGTACTCTTTTCTTTTTTCCTAATATATTAAAAACATATTTTAAAATTTAAACTTCTCAGTCCCTATTTCTCGCTCGTGCGCATCTGGAGTCGCGTCAATGTAAACATGTAAACATAAAATTAGTCCGATGAAGTCCTAAAGGACGAAACGCATCGCACAATATTTTTTTTTCACTTTGTCATACTCTCCCTCGATGAAAAATATACTTATATACTATCTACTAGGTTGGTGGAAATAAAATCCATATTTAAAATAATTGTTATAATTATTAATATTAATTATTATAATATATTTTTATGTTATATTATATTGTATTATATTATTATAATATAATTATTATAATAATTATTAATATTTAAAATGTTACGTCAATGATTTTGTTTGTTAATCTGAAGTAGATTGACATCATGGTGGACATAATGCTACACCGAATAAGGATTGGAACATATATTCCTAGTAGAAAACGAGCCCATATTTAAAATGTTAATAATTTGATTAATTATTGGTCGATTGTAACTGGTTTAAATTAACTAGATTACATTCTTGTTGGTGGCTTGGGGTGCTGACTTTTGGAGTATTCGGCTGAATAATTCTGGTACCTTTTGTACATATTCTTCTCATCTGGATGTTGAAGACGACCGATTCTGTGGGTATCTACCACTGATTTACGTACTCATCAATTTGGAATGACAATTTCTGATGGTGTGGGCATCTATTGAAGCATGAGGTCCATAAACTCAGTGTCACCCTCTCCGTACATGTATCATGGACTGCTACAATTCGTAACGTCATGTTAGATAGGCACATTCACACAGTGTCAAGCCTTGTGTCGTTTTCAGCTATTCTGTGTACAAAATATAAAATGAAGGGTAACAATATTTCCTTTTATTTATAAACTTTTTTTGTAAATCATAATTTGAGTTATCGTGACGATCTGAAACTTTCGTCGAATAGTCTAAATTTTATAATGTAACCACGAGTCCAATTATTCATTTTTAATTTTATTATATTTGTCTTCTTTTAATTTCTTTAGTCCAGGGTATGATGATGAACTACATACTGCAGCAAAGCTTCTGATCGAGAGAGTGGAGATTTTGAGTAGCGTTGAACCACCTTTTAATTGCTGTTGTTCCCAGTCGCACCCTCACCTTGGGTGTTAGCACCTGGTTGGGTTCCAACTCTGTGTTAATAGTGGACTCCCAAACAAAGACAAAACACTATTAAAGTACAAAAATACATTTTAATAGTAAAAATACCAGCAGCATAATTTTTAATAAAAATATTACCAAAAATATCTATTTCTAGTAACATTACCTACAATGCCTATTTACAGTAGAATTACCAACAATACGTATTTATAGTAAAATGACCATCAATACATTTTATCTGTAGCTGAAGGCATACAATTGCGTTCAAAATATATTTAGTTGAAGCCATAAAATTGTGTTCAAAATATTTAGATATCGGAATTAAACACTCCATAGAGGTGTTGATATGTCGCTAAACAAAATCAGTCAGTCAGCAGTTATAATTTCTTAATTCGTGATATTCCCTTGGGAATTGCTCTTTTAGTTTGATCTAGTAGTTTTAATTTTATTGTTCTCACTCCTTAATGTTTTACTTTTTTTCTTTGTCGGAAAACTTGACACCGAAATCCGACATGAGCCTTTAAACAGTGAAATATGCCTTAAAAAAAGCTAAAGTTTTAAGAGACAGGATGGTTTCGTTAGAAACAAAAGAAAAATGATAAACTACTATGTAATATTAATCTCCCTATGTGCAATGAATTTCCTCAAAGACGAAGAGAAGATTTGAGACAGCAGAAATGTCGTTTACTTTGAACCATGCTTTCCCTGATATGCTTTCGTGATGTCAAGCGTGAATTGGCCCCGAACAACCTTCAGAAATGGGTATATGCCACCGATAATGATCCCAATTGCCAATGGGGACAATTACTAAATATGGAGCATCGTCTAGTTTGTCCTAAACTTGAAGATTCATGCACACTTTACATCCTTTAAACCATAACATCCCAGGTAACATCCTGTGTGCAACACTGAATGACGGTAGTATAGTGACTTGATAAGAAAAAAAAGATTTCGTGCTTATTTGAATGTTGGTTATTTGTACAGGTCGATGAAGGTTTTATATGAAGTTTCAAAGTCAAGATGATATATGCTGCTTTCAAAGCATTTGTAGGAAGGAAAGTAACATATAAAAGGATCGTAAAACTATATGTCGCCATATGGAAAACATGACTAGTTTTTCATTGGTTTGCTTGAGAAAGAATTTGATTATGTAGGGTCGAGAATTTTCCTGGCCATTTACACGCTACTTTTAGAACTTTTACTGGGCTGAAGATCATTGGTTGGGATGTGCTAATCTCGTAACTACACTTCCGTCTATATCTGGCCAGATTTGACCTTTAATCCTATCGGATATTTAGAGATAAGTGAATAATAACAATTTTACAGCTGTTCTCTACGAGGTTCCGATTTATTCAGGCATTTGAGAGTTTTTGTTCTCCGTTTAGAAATCGTTGAAACAGTTTCAAATAATTTGTTTTCTCTTTTGAATGCTGTCTGATAACACTGGTCACTCTGAACATTATTATTAATTTCCGTCACGCGTTTCGTCTTTTAGGACTTAATCGGACGAAATTTGTTATGTTGGTACGACTACACATGCGTACGGACGGGGAATGCTGTCAATTTAAAATTTGAACTGTTTTTAATTTAATTTATTTCTTTTTTTAATATAATCTAGCCGATTTCATTTAGATTCTGTTTGGTCCATTACTTTTGTTATTAGAAATCCCGCAATGTGATAATTGTAGATCTGCCAGGAATGGTCGGATGAAGTCCTAGAGGACGAAACGAAAACTTTTCCATTTTGTCATGGATTATATATATATATATATATATATATATATATATATATATATATATATATATATATATGTGTGTGTGTGTGTGTGTACGCAAACAAGATTTACGTATGTCATAAAACACGTCGCAGTTATTATCAAGAACTCAATGTTGTTAGTATGGTAGGCAAGAATGTGATAGCTACACTCAGGTATTTTAAAGAACGGTACATTTCATATATACATACACTTACATTGGATAAGAAACATCTTGTATAGGACAATTTCGTTGAGGTTCACTGAATTTATAAAATATTTCATTCTTATTATTGTATTGTTATTATTATTATTTTTATTATTATTTCGTTGGGTTTCTGTTGTACGCACATTTCCTTCTGGATCCCAACCAGAGACTTAAAGTCATAAATGGCTTCATAACAATTTCCACTGATTATTTTATAAAAAAAAATCACACACATTTTACATAGATAAACCCCTTCGTAATGTGTGAGCTGTACTTGTGAGTACAATTTTGTATTTCTTTAAGGTATGGGCTACCAGGAATCCCTTCAATGGGTCTGTCGGAACCTTTTTCAATCATTCTGAGAACTGGAATTATTCATGTTCTCATGTGCCACATTTTTTAGATTACAACTTCAAGATACTTGTATTTTGATAGTTTTTTTTAAAGATTTTCAAAGATTCATTACAATCTGCAGAGATTGCCATGTCAATAAGAAAACACATTCTGTTTTTGTGGTCTTTGATCACGATGTCTGGGCAATTAGTTTTAATTGTTCTGTCTGTGTGTATTGTCAAATCCCATAAAACTGTTACCGGCCCTATCTCTGTAACCATATCTGGGTGATGGTCATGGAAGTTTCTCGCAGTTTCCTTTCAGTAAAACTTACACATTTTCCTGTTTAGACATTAGCCTACTCTATAATGCCGAGTTTTATATTCAGTGGGTGCTAACACTGTGCAACTTAATAAAAAATGGTCAATTGTTTTCTGCATATTTATAATAGAATCTGCATTTGGGCTTAACACAGTTTTTCAGTATGTGTGCTTAGTAATTTTTAGTTAGCAAACATTGGTCCTGCAAGAATAAAATCTTCGGTTTCAGATTTTAACACGGCACTATGTAGCGACTAATGGGTACAGTGTTTGTCTACCTCAGCTTGTTTAGTACGGGCCCAGTATTGACCATGAAGAAGCTTATCCTGGCATCGTTTCTACATTTGGTACATTGCATTGGTTTTTGCCTTCTTCTTTATGCTCTTTGCCGCTACAGTAACTGTATTATGATTTATTATTATTATTATTATTATTATTATTATTATTATTATTATTATTAATACTAATATCACACATATGTTATTAACTATTTTATAAACATTTTAAAATACCGTCTACCGTGGTAACTGGTAGCATTCAATTCTTGATAACGATAGAAATAGTCGAAAGTATTTGACAAAAAATACACACACAAAAAAACAAAAAAAACAAAGCAAAAGCATGAACTTTGGACCGTCTATTCATAATTTTCATTTATATATATGTTAACTTATTCGTAAATTAGGAAAATATAATAAAACATTAAATAATTAGGCATTGTCGGTTGAACTTAATAAAACTTTATCTATCTATCTATCTATCTATCTATCTATCTATCTATCTATCTATTTGTCGCATACCGTTCCAGATTAAATATTTTAAATCTATCTATCTATCTATCTAAGCTCCGAGAGACGGATGGGCCCATAAAAATAAACTAAATGAGATTTTCCTGACTTTTACACCTACAATAAGATTCTGATCGTGCAAATCCCACGCACGAATTACTATTATATGACATAATAGAAAACACGCCGAGTCGAAACGCTTTACGAGTTGCGTGTTTTTCCACCTAAAGTAAATAAATTTTCATTAATGCTTTAAAAGGTACAGCTTTGTGATTGACTGTTATGAGAAAGTGTATAAGGAAAGAAAAAACATAGCTTTTAATTTTACATTTCAACATCCGGCGTTTTTTTTATTTTATTGTTATTTTATACCCGTAGACGAGAAGGATATGTCCCTTGAAAACATGATGATAGTACATTTTAAAATGATATTCTTTCATTGGCAACAATTTTTTTTTAATCATTTCACTTCGAACCAAAGCTATAATACCATTAGGACGCCTGCGGTTACAGGATGTGAAAGCAAATGAAAACCCTTTAATGACGAGAAGTAAGGAAAGGACAATAACAGGATATGATTCAGGAAGATAGAAGTTGGCGACTGAAGTTGCATTTAAGCTTTTGAAGATTTTAGATGTCAGGGAAGCAACAAATCGGAAGGAAGTTCCACAGGCGAGAAGTACGAGAAAAGGAACTGTTTGACTTTTGTATCTAGCTGTTAAAAGGGAGACAACTAGTTTCTAATAGAAAATAAGTAGGTAAATATATGTGTATAAATAAATATAATACTGTCAAGTCTAACCTGCAAATCTGCTTGAAACAATTCGAGTAAATTAATGTCTTACTTCTCTGAAACACCTTTCCTTTATCTGAGTGTTTGACGTGCCCCCCACAGGAGAGTATTCCCATAGCTTTTTTGTAATCCTACCTAACTAAGAATAAAGACAGAGGAATCGAAGAGAAATTGTTTCCGGAAACAAAGTCTTTAATTGTGCTCCTGAGATTTAAGAATTCACTTCCTAGGCGTGGTGATACCTCGGCAAGACGGTTTCTTAGTACATGAGTTTTGCGCATTATTCTAGGAAACTGCTTCCTATGGTTTCGAACAGAACAACAATAACAACTTTTTTTCCATTATCGGATACTAAAATGCATTGTTTTCAACCAGTCAATCGGCGCGCATTTTTGTATAGCGTTTTTGTTGAAACATTTATAAGTATATAAGCCATTATGAGTATATTAGTATATAAGATAAGAATATCACTGAATCTTTTATAAACGACGTGACCATAAAGCGTCATACAAATACAATTGCGTACTAGAGACCCTCTCATTAACCACTCCTTCATCATTTAACAACTTAACGATGTTATTTTACTTACGGATAGCATTTGGATTGTCTGACTTTGATCGTTAAAGGTGTGGCTGTCGATGTCTCCTCGTACGTTTTAATATTTATCATTCTATACAAGTAAAAGACAATCTGTTCGAGATTAGGGTCAAAATAAACGAGTGTAATGAAGCGTAAGGGTTCCGGTCATTCAGTGCGATTAAGTGACCGGATGGTGATTAAATGTCTCTGTTAGTGGCTCTATGTGAATATCCAGAGATTTCATTTGGTCATGCTTCATCGGTAAGAAAGAAAAAAAACTGATGAAAGATTATAAACGCAATGGGCATTAATATATCTTTTACTTGCTGAAAACCGGTCTTAAGAACAGAGAAAAGTAAGTTATCATAGAAGTTTCTGTAGAAACCACATTTTCAGCAAGACATCTATTTTTTGGCTTAGTTCACTTAAATTTTCTACCTTAGGCATAGTTACATAGAGCTGATTCTGAGAGAAATATTTAAATATTTTTTATAATAATAATAATAATAATAATAATAATAATTAATTCACTAAACTTAGTATTTTTTTACATTTTTTAAATTGTAGCCCTCCAACATTGCGCTAGGCAGTAAAGCCATTAAGACACAAGGGGTTACTGAGTGCGAAAAAATACGAGAAAACGGAAACATTGAGGAGTTACAACAATAGAAGAATAACCAAGAAGACAGCCATGGTATTGCATTTAAATTTTTGAGAATCAAGGTCAGTTGGGAAGCATGGAGCTGGAAGAGTGTACCACAAGTGAAAAGTACGAGAAAAGAAACTGTTAGCATAGAAATTACATTTACATCTATCTAATTCAACTGCAAAATGATGAGACTTTGTTACCAACCAAGTACTACGCTTAAATTTATAGTGTCCAGGTACCATAGCGGAAAATTCACCAGAACATTTACCATAAAAGTATTTATAGAAAACGCACAGTGAAGCGACATTACAGCGGTGGGAAAGTGACTGAAGCCGAGATGCCAGGTCAGGACCAATAATAATGCTGATTCTTTGGATTTTGTTTCAATAATTCAGTACAGTTTTATGAAAATCTAATTAAACATATTATTTTGTCTTATTTAGCTAATTGCATAACATTTTTCGGATCCGTTAGATTAGTTTTTTTGTAATGCAAAATATCAAACTTGTATATTTTCTAACTTACGACTGAATTTTGACAAAGTAGATATAAATTCTTTCAATACAAAAACGATGAATCAAAAATAAATTTATTGAGGGAAACATTGCTTATATATGGCAATTTTTAAAATCTGAATTAAATTAAATAACACAGAGGAAATATTTATTAAAATATGTTTCTTCAAAATTGCTACGCAAATTAGATTTAATGTAAACGCCATTTTGTTAATAATATATATAAAAGGTTGGTAAACATCCAATAATTTTTAACAATGCGGGTTATGTTGTTTTACTGATGCAGTAAGCGAGTCACAGTCAAAAATTAGCCCTACACGAATTTATAAAAGTTTGTTACAGAGAACAGACGAATACAAAAAAGGTTGCTTCAATGAATCAAGAAAAACAAGAGAAATTTGCTGTCTCTTCCAATTACTAAAGCTTCTCTTGTAGTCGAAAAAGGATAAACAAAACCTAAATGAACATTTTTCGCTACTCTTAGTTTCTGGCATTTTGTCCGTTTGAGTCGGCAGCGTGCGATAAGCTAAGATAGTTATTTCGCGTCATGTTATCGGCTCCATATCTAAAGACCGCCGTCAGTTATAATTAGAGACAGAACTGTTATGCATCCCGTGGTATGCCTATATCTGTTATCGTGTGTACAATTCTACCTATAATAAAAGAAAGAAGAGATCTCTCATGTCGCTTTCTCGATAAGAAGGAGTCAGCCTTACTTTTGAGTTGGGAAGAAGCTTAGCGAAAATCTACAGAACGATTTTTAGATTTTCCTCTCTCTCACGCACACACACACAGACACACACACAGACACAGACACACACAAACACACACACATATATATATATATATTATATTTGGGCAGAAACCTTTCCTTTAAACATCTTTCATTAAATATAACGAACAAGGAAAAATCTTTATAAAATTTTTATCTAGTTTTTGCAACGTTCTTACATTTTTCCGTTTGGCGAGATTGAGCGAATACAGAAAATGTCTATATCGTCAACTGTCCCAAGCCCTTTTGGCCAATTTTCTTTAGCCATTTTCAAATGCGATAGATTTTGCTGTTGTTAGTTTATTTTCAGGTTTTTGACTGTGCGAGATGTATTATTCGTGTATTATTTGTGAATTATAGTAGGGGCTTAATTACGAGCCATCGTGTGTTGGCCATTGCTTCTAAAATAATACGAAATAATATATCATCTTACCATATCGAATACTGATATCACTTGAATGTGGATGCTTTAAAATCTAAGAATGAGATACTGATAAACTTTTATCTTACCTTTCAAGACAACAAGTTTTCTTCTTTTGATGATGAGACTTTTCAGATGATGAGACTTTTGAAAATGCTGACAACCTGGCCTTTCTAGGATTATTTGTCTCTTCTGCATTTGATGATATAAAGCGACGAATAGAATGAGCCTAAACTTGCCTTTGGAAGACTGAAAGAAAAGATAGGGGACAGATAAGACCATTCTTTCTACACCAAGACTACGAGTACTTCCCAGATGAGTAATGGTGAGAGGAAAAAGATTATTCAGGCCTTCAATAATGGTACCAACATTCATACTCTGACTTCCATCTTCAAAGTCCATTCAAGAACCACCAAGAGAACGGTGAATAAGTTTAAAAAATAGGGAAATCTAGAGTTATCAAATGTTGAAGTCATTGCTGGATATTTGTCCTTTCCCCACGAACGGACTTTCGCTAAAGTCCGCTTACATGTGGGGATTCTACGCATACATATGATTAAAATGGTAGAAATCGCTCAAGCCCATTGGCACTTGACGCCTCAAGCATCAGGGATTGACCTAGACCCTCTCACTTTTCGTGCATTGAGTGAGGCGCTATGGCGATGATTGATGGTTTTGTTGACATGTCAAACCTTGTGAAAAATACTTGTAACTATGATCTTGTTAAACTTATATACATCTTAGGTCTAGTGTTCCAATCTGCTTAAAAGTGAATTTCCACTTTTGAAGTTAAATAAAAGCAACTTGATCCCCACTCTGAAATCTAGCGACATACAATTTGTTTTTAAAAGTAGTCTATGTGCCAATGTGTTTATAAAAGTTGTCTTTTTTGTCAATGATGTTCACCATGTACAAGGCCCAAGAGCAACTCGTGGTAGAGAGTTAGAGAGTAAGAGGCAACGTTTATATGGTAAAAGGAAGTTATGTCAGTGATAGAAGCTTATTTCATGCTGTTCAACCGGTTGGAAAACTTAATTTGGGAAGATGTTAAAATAATCCTGAAATTATACCGGGAGCAAACTGCCTGCATTTTCACAGAAAATAAATTCATTAAATACTAAAAGAAAAACAACAGCAACAACAACAACAACAACAACAAAAAGAAACAATAGAAAGATGCGCCTGAAAAGGATCTGTTTTCTCACTGGACATATTCAAACTTTACAGTGACGCGATCGTCAGAGAACTAAAATTCCTACCAGGATTTATTATTGGCAAATACAATCTGAACAGTATAACATATGCAGATGAAACAAATCAGACCACTATTGATATACCAGGTGTAACAGCAAAATTGTCCAAGTTGTGTTACAGCATAATTGTCCATCCAACAAAATGCTTAATATCTAAAAAAAAAAGAAGAAACAAACAAAAAAAAAAAACAACAAAAAACGCTAAAATAATTGCGTTTCTTTCTTCCAGGTTTTCAGGTAAGACGTTTAACCATCTTGACACCATTTTTTGTAAGATTCAACCAGAAAGAGAAAAGGTTAACATCGTTTTGTGTCAGCCACACTGTCTTCCCAAATGAGTAATGGTGAGAGGAAAAAGATTATTCAGGCCTTCAATAATGGTACCAACATTCATACTCTGACTTCCATCTTCAAAGTCCATTCAAGAACCACCAAGAGAACGGTGAATAAGTTTAAAAAATAGGGAACAGTAGAGAGAAAAACTGGATCAGGAGGACACAACAGGAAGAGGGATCATCATTTTAACTTGAGCTAATTAGAAAAGATCCAACTCAATTCATAAGACTCTTGGCACGTGAGAGAGAAGTTTAAGCTACGGCAGCCCAAAGATCAGTGAAAAAAGACTTGAAAATTAAATCGTACGTGAAACGTGTGAGTAACCTTGTTACACCAAGAAAGAAAGATATAAGGTGTTGCTCAACTGCTTTCTCGAGAGGCTGTACTTTATAATGCTCCATAAGTTTTCTATGTGATTGAGGTCAGGAGATTGGGACGCCCATGTCATAACACTCACCTGCTTCTCATCAAAGTATTCCTTCATCAATTTTGATTTGTGACAGGGAACATTATCCTGCATAAAAATGAGCTTGGTGGGGTCGATTTGCACCCTTTCAGCAGAAGGGAGCAGACAAGACTCTAAAATTCTCTTGTACTGCTCGCTCCTGAGGGTCTTTTCAATAGGTTTTAAGAAACCAGTTCCATGAAAAGAAAAGCAACCCCAGAACATTATACTGAACGGATGCTTGACAGTACTTACTGCTAAATTCAGAACTTTCAAAGCTTCTTCTTTGGATTTTAGATCGCTTATCCTTTGAATTTAGCTCAACTTTCGTTTCATCGGAGAAGAGAACATTTTGTAAAAAAAAAAAAATCAGGTGAGTCACTTTTATCGAACAGCATTGTATATGAACTTTATTTTAATCCTTCGTGAGCTTCCAATCCTTAGTTATGATTAGTTAATTATGAACATGTTTTTTTTTCATTTATGATCGATTTCATCACGATTCTTCTGTTAAGCTTGGAGAGTAATTATATATTCTTATTGCTCAAAGTAGAGCCCAATAGAATTCTCAAAGTCTCGGAGAATTCCAGTAAGATATATTTAATCATTTATAAGATACACCGGTTCAAACTTAATCTAATAAGTAGACAATTTTGCTTTTACACGATTTAGACAATTTTGCTGTTACACTAGATATTTATTCCCCAAGACATTCAAATCTAAGAAAAAGTGTGAAGTTGTCGAGAAGGCGCTGAATTTCATTCAGAAGAAAGTTGACATATGTCATGCACGCTTGGGCGATGATGTCTCTTTTGATTCATGACTGACTTGGCAAAAAAAAAAAAAAAAAATTGCGACGGTAGATTGCCGTTTCATTCTGCTACAGACAGGCTGTCAACGAAGGCTATAAGACCGAGACTGTCCTGTTATTCAACCGATATCTGCGGCGAGAACAGATAGATTCATACCTTTCCCAAGGTTATTTTCATGAGTGTGAAAGTAACGAAACTGACTGGAATTCGAACTCGGCTCTCCGATTTCGAATTCTGAGATCTTATCATTACACCACACTGCTCTTAATGAACTAATATTAAAAAACTATTTTTTTCCGAAAGTGCAATGAGATGTTTGATTCTGGTTTAAAACGAGTTCTTCAATGAAAAACTTAGCCAACTTCATAACTTTGGTACATAGGCCCGAACTTTCAACTATATAGCCTACTATTATTGTTTATATATTTGAGAGAAGCTAAATAGAATTTTGCTTAAACTAAATAATTGTCTACCAAAGCGTACCGATGAATTCTTTATTTAAGACAGGATATCAGACCGTGGGGTGTGTTTGAGTATATTTCTAAAATTTGAGCTAAATTTGGAAAATGTTTTGTGACTCGAAGATCTTTTGATGTTTTTAGCAAAATATTCAATCACCATTTTATTTTTTCATGGGAAAAATATCCTCCCACACAAACAAAATATTAAGTACAAAAATAGTTAATATTTCAGACAATTACCGTAGCTTAGTTGTGTCACAAGGCCGAAAGTAGGCCACATCCAGTGTGGATCGAACTCACTATTCAGTCGTAATTGTTCTAATGAGACAAGTTACAGTATATATTCGTGTCAATTTCGTCAACTTCAAATTTTTGTGTACGAAATTTTCCAGAAATACTTTACCTGTGCACAGTGCAACCGGTTACTGAAAATGCATCATTTTTAACCTCTTTAAAAAAAATTAAAAAAAAATTACCTGTGTATTGTGAGACCTATCTTTTGCGTAAAAAATGATCATAAAACGCGTACTATACTCGAGTATATATATGGTACCTTATTTGTTTAAACGCCGAAATTTTGTAGTAGAAACACCGGATCAAAAATTATGATGGCATTTATCGTGACATATTTTTCCTGTTAAGCAATTTAAATAACTAAAGCGATTTAGATAACTAATAGCCTCGGTCATCCTAATTAATGAATGAATACAGCTAATAGAAATCGGTGTCTTCTATTAGGAATGTAAATAAACAGTCAAGTTGAGCAAAGAATACAAAAAAAAATTGTTGAATAATCATTTGAAGGGTAAGTTTTATCGAGAAACTGTTTATTTTACAGCGTGATAATAAATGTTTTCTCACTGCTAAATATCTTTCTGTATTTGCACTTATTGGCTTACACTCGTTGACTGAAATAATAACGAATGTTTTGATTATAAAATTCATTTTTAATGAATAATTTGTGTTTTCTTTATAACACGTGAAATATGTTGATACCGTCTTGAAGAAAACAGAAAAAGATGAATGCAACTTTTTTTACTCTACTAATTTACCTTTTCTACTATACAGAAATTTGCCCATTAGAAAAAAAAATTGAATTTAGTATTTTGTCTATATTATTCTTCATAACAACAAATATATTGACTTAAAATTAAAAAAAAACAACTTATTTATGGATATTAAAAAAATGAATTTATTAGCATTGTTGTTAAAAATGTAAAACAAAATTAACCAGTTTAATATTTTTACAGTAAATTAAAAAATTATGCCGAAATCTATTTTGTACGCAATATTCTCGCTTTAACTACAGATATTTTGTACATAATTTTATACTTTCATGTTAAACGTATATTTTACAGATATATAATTTGTAAATGATGGGAGAGATCAAAGGGGGACATAGACACATGTTAAAGTGTATACACGTCATTACAGAGTGTTGCATCCAGATGGGCAACAGGGTGAAGCATGATCCTCAGGGGAAATTTTAAATTACTAGGACAAACCCTAAAGACATTATCAGGCGAATTGTAATTGAAAATGAAACTTGACTTAACTAATACGATCCTGAAGATGAAGCTCAGCCAATGTAATGGTTATCCAAAGGTGGAAATGGTCTAATGAAAAGAAAAGCTTTGATTTGATTTGACTGATTCATCTTCTACGGCTTATCAACCCATTGCAGGTTATTTTAGCTTGTAATTTAAAAAAAAATTAATCATGATTTTATCGATAAAAATCTTACTAATTAACCCATAGCTGAGAAAGGAGAAGAGATGGATTCATACCTTTTGCAAGAGTATTTGCGTGTAAATAAACATAATGAACCCAACTGGAATCGAAACTGGACTTTCCGTTTAACAAATTCCCAGCCATTATCCATTACACCAACCACACATCTAAGCTTACAGCGCCTGTATTCCCAAGCGGTCACCCATCTAGGTACTGGCCATGTTCGACTTTGCTTAACTTCGGTGATCGTACGTGAACCGGAAAAAAAGTGATCAGAACGAAAGGTCAAGAATACATTTTTTGGGCTATACTGCGTGCATTTTACTAATGAACCTTTTAAAGATGGGGAAAGACATTAATATCTGCTTATTACAAAAGTGTTTTGAGATTAGATTTTTACGGCTTACAAACCGTTTATAGGTTATTTAAAGCCAGTTATCATTTCTACATTGTAAAACTATTTTGGAAATAATAAGGATTTATCCATAGCTGATGAGAGCGGAGGTGTATTCATACCATTTCCCAAGAGCATTTACGTGTAAGTGAATATAACGACCCCGACTGAAATTGGAACACGGTTCTCCGTTTTCCACTTCTGGGCCGTTATCTGTTACATATCTGACACATCTAATCTTACAACACCCCAAACAAACGGTCACTGATCTAGTTACTGACTATGCTCAACTTTGTATAAGAATCAGTTTTTGAATGGGATATGTCCGTAAGACAAAGTGTTATGAGAAAATTTGCTAAGAATTCACCAAAAGAGCTCTGTGGAAACCTTCATCAGTGAATTCTTTTTCTCTACGACAATGCCAGTTCCTATTCCTCTAAACAGACAAAGGTAACATTGCAAGAATTTCGATTTGAAATAATTAAAAACATTTTTGACTCTTTTCTTATTTCCTAAACTTCATAATTTGTTGAAAGGTTCCCATTTTGAGATAATTTTAGCGTAAAAATGGTTGCTGTTTACATTATTAAAATTTCAAAGCTTTCAGCTCTTCCGGGAATTTATAAACGGCTTATAATATCACCAAAAGAAGCTTATACGAAGGCATGAAACTTAAAATTTAAAAAAATGTTTACTTTTAATTCCACTCGAACCGTTTCAATATCCCTCTTACTGATAACTAAATATACTGATGTGACTGATTATAACACCAGTTTTACACAGAATAGAAAAGAGTTTTTCATAGAATTTCCGACAATAACATTTTCCTCTGAGCATTCTACTTATTTTATAGCTTTCCTGTCGATAACTTCTGTATCATTTTAAAGGTCCTTCGCAAACAATTCCGGCATAAATTTGAATGTTCCATTTACATTTCAAATTCTTAGAATATGAACAGAATTTTCTCTGTCATATAAGGTCAAAATACAGTATTTGACAAATAGTCATTTCTTTTAATTAAACCGAAAAAATATCTCTAACGTCCAACGAAAGCCTTCATACCTTTATTTAAGAGATAAAACGTTATAGGTCGATGTACACGAAGAAATGACGGAAAGAGCAAATGATACACTAGACGATTTCTCTTATAGAATGACACACGATGAATACAGGGTGAAACTTTTGCAAAATGGCTGAAATCCAAGATATTCGGTTGATGTAAAGTTTTCTTTTTTTAACAAAATCTTTTAACAAACAAGGAAGCCTTTTGGTGAGCTTCACCTCGTGTCGAATAAGTCGTTTAATGTGGGGTGGGAACCTGTAATTGCGTGTAATATTCCGCGTATTTCCGACTAACGTTGCACATTTTCAAGGAAATAAGGTAGATCGTCGAGAGATAGCCAGTGAAATGTTTACGTGGCTGAATGTTTGAAGTTCGAAGAGAATGTGGGTTCATATGCTGGAGTGTTAGAAAAAGATTAATGTGCGTGTCACATGACTAAAAATGACTTTACCGTTGAAAGTCATGTTAACACGCACGCGCCAAGATTAAAACAAATAATGTTGATAGTAGGTTGCTGTTCACAAAAATTTATAATCGTTTTTTGGTTTTTTTTTTTTTAGTTTGCAATAGCAGAGTGGTGTTGTATTGTCGACAATAAACTGAAGGTCGATTATGAAACAGGACTTTACAAATTCAACTGCAAAATCTCACCGGTCGAAACATCATTGCCCCGTAAAATGTCTTTACTTTCTCACTGTGTTATTCAAATAAGCCACTCGCGTCGCAAATTAGGAATTTTCCCAGGTTTCAGCATTTCATAATGAAGAATTCACCTCGAATACCAGCAAGCACCGTTTTTTTTTTGGTATTTAATTTCGCTTGGGTTGAGAAGATATCTTCGATCATCTATTTTTTTTGTTTTAGAGTCATGTATGAAGTCTTTTTCCAGCGAGAGTGACTGTGTTGCGCAAACATTTTTTTTTCTCTATTGGATTAGAAGAGAAAGAGAAACGACGACTGATTGCGTTTCCGTAATTTCATGTGAGGCCCATTTATATATATATATATATATATATATATATATATATATATATATATATATATATATATATTTTGTGTGTGTGTGAGTGTGTTATAGGATGAGGAAAAACAGAAACGGTTCATAAATTTATGATGTTTCTCTTTTATTTAAACTTCATTAGAAAATCAAAATGAAAGAAAAAAATTCTTGTATTTTTATTTTTGTGTAGTTTTTCATTTGTTAAGCAGAACTCGCATGTGTCTGTCCTGTCAAGTAAAGTGCGTGTGCATATCATAATTCTAGTTTGTCTATGCGGGATTCGGATGATAATTTGTATTCATTTGTGTGCGTCTATATTCCGTATCTTCTCATTCTGTTGGATTCTAAAAAGCCGCAGTGAAGCTACATTACGGGGTGGGAAAGTGACTGAAGCCGAGATGCCAGGTCAGGGCCAATAATTTTATTGATTCTTCTTTGCATTTTTTTTAATAAGTCGCTACAGGTTTATAGAGATCTAATTAAACAAATTATTTTAACTTATTTAGCAAATTGCATAACGTTTTGCGGATCCGTCCGACTAATTTGCAGTAATACGAAATATCAAACTACAACAATGCTTATTATTACGAACGCTGTATATTTTCTAAATTACGACTGGATTTTGACAAAGTAGATATAAATTCTTTCAATGCAAAAACGATGAATTAAAAAGTGAGATCTTTATTGAGATCTTCTTTTATGAGCCGTGTTCCTTCAGGACGTAGGCGATCATGGTTTTCCACTTCTTTCTGTCCCTTGTAGCTCTCAATAAATTTTGACTTTTTGTTATTTCTTCTAGAGTCTGTTCTGTCATCCACTTGCTTAAACCTGTTAAGTATGTTACGCTTTGCTTTCCTTTGTCCCTCTTTCACTCTATAAGCCCTGTGAGTATCAGATTTTCCAATTTCTCATTACGTGTCCCAGAAATTTCAGGTGTCACTTCTTGATGTTAAGTATAATTTTCCTCTTTGTTTGTGTCCTCTCGTTGCTCACATGTTCGGTCTATGGTATCCTTAGCATCCTTCTGCAGAACCATACCTCTGTTGCCTCGAGTCTCTTTGAGGAGATCGTACAACATTTTCTACCGTAAATGAGGATAGATATCACGTAGCAGTTCAGCAATCTTTTCTTTGTTACTAACGAAATCCCCCTGTCTCGTAATACTCTGCCTAGCTTTTGGAATGCGTCTTTGGCCATCCAAATACGTCGTCAGAACTCAGCGTCGCAGTTACCGTCCTCTGTTTGAACAATTCCCAGATATTTAAATTTCTAAACTTGCTTGATTTTAGTGTTCCCTTCTTGTAAATCGCATTTCAGGCTCGTCTTTTGTTGATGACCATACATTGTGCTTTCTTGTAGTTCATCATTAGTCCCTTCTTCGCGCTCTCCTTCGCAACATTCTGTGGGAGATTTTGTAGTTTTCTTTCCGTGTCTGCTATCAGCACTGTGAGATTTTATTTATACTCCAGCATTATTTCTTATCTTTTTGAACTTTATATTTACTTTATACATGGGTTTGGGTAGGAATTTCAGATTTAAACTGTAAATTTTTGTCTACCGGACTCTGCACTCTATTTAAAAATAGAGATGTCTACTTAAACACATGAATTCACTAAATACAATATCTAAACTAATATATATATATATATATATATATATATATATATATATATATATATATATATATATATATATATACATACTATGTTTGTTTATTTTTGTTTTACTGCTTTCGAGTCCACGAATCAATTTCTTGGTGGCCATAAAAAATTGATTAAATAAAATTAAAATAAATACAAATTGAAAGATGACGTTTTAAATAATTATGACGCTTAGCAAATAAACAACTTTCAAAGCATGCCTTGCACAAAGAAATATATTTTTATACTGCTATTCACCCAATACTTTATTTCCGACAAAATGGCACAGAAATGGTTTTCCCGTTTCAAGGAGGAAAAGATCAAACTCACAGACGCTCCTATTCAGTTTGCTAAGAACCAGTTGCACGTGTTGATTAAAGAAGAACCACGAAAGACCACAGATGTCTAGAAAATCCAACAGAATGTCACTCAAGGTAAATAGCTACTGTGTAGAGTCATATGTGGTGTGATGAACCTAAGAAAGGACAAGTTCATATGGCTATACAAGAAAGATAATGGTTAACCCTAGACCTGAAGAAGTCAGTAGGAAAACATCCTACTGGGAGTCTGTTCCACAAAGCAGCAGTTCTTGGGAAGAAGCTGTACTAATAGAATTTATTACTGGAATACGAAAGGAATGGGGAGGATTCACCCTTCTGTGCGTGGCAAGACAGGTCTCAGTTGTAAAGTTCCGGGGTAATGGGACTGAGACACACACACTTTATATATATATATATATATATATATATATGTGTGTGTGTGTGTGTGCGTGTATGTATGTGTGATGGGATTCAAGGTGTTCGCAACTGTTCGCAGCCCTTTACTAAAATTAAATAAAATCGCAGAAGTAGTTTTGAAATTCCCCTGGTCTTTATATCACTTAAAAAATATAGGGATGGGAAAAGAAGATGGTTGATAATTTCATAAAGAAACTATCTGGATGCAAAAGTAGAAAGAAATGGTCGCTAAAAATCCTACCATAGATATATATCGACGAACGGTCTATCGGCGATATCGAATTTTATTCTCCCATCAATATAACAAATTGTAAACAACACATATACATATATACATGTATAAAAGGGGTTCCATGTCAAAGATATAGCTTTTACAGATCTGGTTTCTTATTCCCCCCTCACTGTCTTCAATCCACCAGTAACCTATAT